AGACAGAGCCAAGTCTTTCCTAACTTCTTTTGTTTCTTCATGTCTTCCTGACTTCTGGCATAGGTCAGGAAGATGAGCATGCATGTGAAGCATGACCAGGATGTTTGATGGGAGGACAAGCTGGTGAAGTTCTTGTTTTAGTGACCTGTATACATGTGTGTTCTTAAGCTTCCACAAAGTCAGTGTTCAGAGGTGGACAAACTCCCAGCAAGGCCAGGCCAGAACTGCTGCCTAATAGCCCTATTCCAGTGCCTGTTTCCCCCCTTGGCTTGCATTCTTTGTTCCATTTGACTTCTAGTCCAGAGGTATGTTTTTCCCTAGCAGCTTGGGAAGAGTGATATTGGGATTAAGAGTCTAACCTCAGCCTCCCGTAAGCAGCAGGGAGTAAGCATTCTTGATGCGTGTGGTGGGAGGGGGAGGGAAACAGGGAGGGTGTGCAGTGGTGGGAAGGACAGGTGGTGAGGAGTGGGTTGGTCTGGCAGGGTCTCTTGTCAACCAAGGAAGACTGCAACCTTTGGAGGAAGCTGAGTTGTTAGAGCTGACATTGTCTAACAATCTGTGATCTTTATCCCATAACAGCTAACTGATGAGCTTGTGATAAAAAGCTGGATTTCAAGCTGTAATTATCTTGCTGATCAGATACTGATATGAAGGAAAGATCTCGTGTCATGCAGCAAGCACTAGAGGGTCCTCGCCCTTGCAAATAAAGATTATCCTGTTTTCTGAGTGCACACAACCTTGAGATGGAAGAGGCAGCTCTCCTCAAAGAACATAGCTGATCAGCAGAAATACCGGGCGTATTCAGGAGTCAAAAAATGTGCTGGCCAGGATCCATTGTAGGCTTGCAATCCTGGAGAACTAGGAGCAGGAAACACTGCCAGAGGTGCATGCAAACTGTAGCACCTATGGAATGGGGAGTGGACTGGAAGGTTCCTGCGGGGTGGGAGACTGGGATGCCTCCCAGTAGAGAGGATGTTTGGATGTTTCCCAGTAAGAACAGGCAGCATTTAAGCACAGTGGTGCTGCTGGGTGGCAAATGCATGTGTGAGGCTTGTTTTCTCTGGGAGTTTTCAACAGGAAAGCAGGACATATAGGAGTCCTCCGGGGAGCATGGAAATCTCCAGCAGGGGATATCAGAAGGACACAAAGGAGTCCAAGCGGGTAGAGCTGGAGGGCCTCCAGTAGGCCTTCCTTTCCTGACTGGATGCTGTGGCTTCATCACCAGTTTGAGTGTTAGCTTTGCCTGCTACTGCATCCTATTAGATCCCTGCCTCAAAGCCCCAAGTTCTCTGTTCCAAAGTTACTAGATGCTCTGGAAAAGCTGTAATATAGATACTAGAGACTTGCCAGCAGCTGTCACAATGGATGAAGCCAGAATCTGGCAGATGCAGCAATCTGTATAGGAGGGAAGGGACCTGTTTCCAGTGGAATCCAACTCCTATAGGCAACCCAGGTTGCCAGCAGTGGGGTTTGGAGTCTTAGAACTACAGCTGCTACTGTGGTCTTGTCTCCTAACTTCTTCTCAGGGAGTAATGTGGATTATGGATAGTCCCAACCCACAAAAGCCACTTTATGCCATAGAATCCCCAGCCTGCCCTGGTAAAATTTGGTATTTGACTTGAGCTCAGTTCACATCCATAAAGCCACAGAGCAGCTCCTTGGAGACTTGCCCTTAGGGGAGGCCTCAGAAAAAAAACAGCAGTGCTGGAGAGAGGCTTTCTTTGCACTGCTGGATACACTCCAAGGAAAATTCAAAATTATGTGCTGAGTCCCAGGGGCTGCATATGACGGCAAGAAGTCGGGCTGGCCTGGCCTGTTGGTGCACACATTTGGATCAGACCAGGCTGGCTCCATGCCAACACATGGGGCTTGCAGCACTCCAGGTAGGAGCTGTGCATCATGGGCCCAGGCAGGCTCCATGCCTCCACATGGGGCTTCCAGTGGGAAGCCACATGTTGAGGCACAGAGTTGCGTGCCGTCGGATTGGGCTAGCTCTGTGCTTCTGTGCATGGCTTCCTGCTGGAGTGCTAGAAGCCCCACATGGAGGCACAGAGCTGGCCTGATGACACGCAGCTCCTGCCTGCAGTGCTGTGAGCCCCACATGCTGGCACAGAGCCAGTATGGTCCAGGTTGAAGGTGTGCACCAGCAGGCCATCTGGGCTGGCTCCATGCCACCATGTGCAGCCTCCTGGACTCAGCCAGAGCCACGTGCCACATGGACACTCTGCCTGCCACAGCCATGAGTGCCCTGAGGGCAAACCGCCTGCTGCTGCTGTTGCCTCTGCTGGTGGCAGGGGCTGTGCACCACTGGGGGGAGGAGGGGCATATGGCTGGGGGTCCCACAACCACCCCTGCACCTGCTCCCAAACCCCATGCCCACAGGCAGGAGTTCCCATCCCCACTTACCAGCTGTCCAGTCATGCACCACCACATGTGGCTCCCAGCTTGGGGTGCCAGGAGCTCTGCAGTGGTGGAGGCACAGAGCCTGTCCAAGTTAAATTATGTGCAGTCATACACGTTATGTGCAAAATTACACCAGTGCATATTTATGTAATTCCCTGGGGTGTAGCTAGACCTGAGCAGTTATCAGACCCAGCCCTGAAAGCACATTTCAGGCCAGCCCCGAAATCACATCCTTCACAATGGGCAGGGCCAGAAGGACAAAGTCTATACCAGTGGTTCTCAACCTATTTGCTGTACTGGGTCACGCTTGCAGCTCTCAATGTGTTATGTAGGCTGCACCCACAATGTCCTGTGCATCAGTTTAACAGGATGTCACATGGGCTGCAGCAGAGTGCTAATTGTGCCACTGGCCTATAGCAACAAACAGGGCTGCAAATCAAGAGGATGAAAAGGAGGGAAGATTTAAGTGTCTTGTTACTCAACCCCTTTTATGGGATAAAGTTGCTTTTGCATTTTCCTTTTGCCCACTGGTTGTTGACATCAGGCTGATTCTATACGTAAGTTTGTTCTGAAGCACAGAAACAGTTACAGCTTCATGTGGGTCATCTGGTCTTTTTCCCTTGAAAAATCAGCCTAGGTTGTCAGTGTAACTATTAGCTTTGCCTATACTTAGTTATCAGCAGTCACAGATTTATGTGCATCTTTAAAGAAAGCATTGACCAATGTCTATTTGAGATTTAACCAGATTAATATTACTTTTACCATCAGTATCCAAATGTCCTAATCATGGACCAGGACCTTAGCGTGCCTCAACGCCCAAAAAACCCAGTACTTGTCCATATTAGAGACAGGTTTATTTGTTGTCCTGTGAGAGCAAGCCTAGACTTACCAGAAACTAGAAGCCTCCCCACTGCTCAGGGGAGGAGGTAGAAGCAGACGTGGGGTGGGAGCCACCGCTCCAGTGGCTGGAGGAGGTGGTGGCGGCAGTGGCGGCACAGGAGTGTTTACATGGCCAGCCCCAAAGGGTGAGCAGGGGGCAGTTATGTAAATACTCCTTCATTATTTTAAATCTGTCATTCATGATGGGCAATTGGCTAGCGTACTAATAAAAGCCTGCTTGCAACATGTCTGCTTTCAAGTGCATCTGGTTTTTGACACCTACCAGATGCTACTAAGTGTGATTAGATTTAATAAGCATTTCATATGCATTTTCCTGCCACAGGCTAATGCAGAGAGAAGGTTCTACCTTCAGCCCTGGGCTCCACCAAGAGCAGAAGCCAGTCTTGCTTGATGGAGTTCATTACTGTCAAACAGAAGGGAGAGGCTATGAAAGGCCTGTTCTTAGAGGAATTTAGCAGTCCCATTCTCCAGTCCATCAGGGGAAAAACATTCTGTAGCAACTGATGACCGGTCTCCCTATCCCCCAAGCTATAGGTCCCAACATTTAGATGAAGTGATTCCCCAGTTTACCAATCCCACGGGAGTCAGACAAAGACCAGGCCCAGCTGGAACCAAAGCAGAGCCCAGGGGCGGGTGGAGGGGAATCCTAGCCCTGAGCCTGCAGGGCAGTTGTACCACCTTCACCACTGGGTGCATGTGGATGTAGGGGAAAGGATCAGGACCTGGCATCTCAACAGCTGGGCAGTCTTGGAAGCAGGCTGGCAAAGATGGGCCCTCTCTCCATTTTCTGGAGGGAGAACAAGCTGTCAAGGAAAGTCTGTGAGCTTGCAATTTAGCAACAGGAGATAATGATGTAATGAAGTTTTACACTTGTCCCTAAAGGTAACATGACGGCCACTTGCATCTCTCTCCATGACCTGAAGAAATCCTCAAGGGAGATAGAAGGGTGAGCATCTACCTAGCAGACCAACCCCCGCCAGTGAATCAGGCTCCCTGCCAAGATTTCCACCCGTAGGAGAGCACTGCGATCTGGCTGAGGAAAAAAAGCCAAAGGGGACAAAGATTGTTTTCAAGTTCAGGCATTTAGGGACAAACTACCACACAAGGTGGAAATCCACACCCCCCATCATAACTCAGCCTTGCTGTCACCTCCTCCTCGCACATCACAAAAAACCTCTAGCGCCCACTGTACTACTTCCGGTCGGGCGGCGCTATTTTACCTCCCAGAACCGGAAGCCCGCTGCCGGTTCCGCGCGCTTATTGGCTGCCTGCCGCCAATCCCCGCCCCCCAACGCCAACGGGAGAGAAGAGCTCTGCCCTCCACCCTCACTGCGGCGGGACTGCGTTTCCCAGCGCGGGGCACGCTGGGAGCTGGGGGTACCTCAGTTCCCAGCGGGCTCCGCGCGTCCTTAGGGAGCTTCCTGCTTCCGGTGCAGAGCGGCGGGACGGATCGGGGCCAGGGCCAAGGAGCGGAAAGCAGAGCAGCAGCTCGGGGTGGGAGCACAGGGCGGGGAGCAGAGCAGACTGGGCTGGGTGTGGGACCAGAGCGGCTCTCAGGCCGCGCGCGAGGGTAATTTTCTCAGACCTGCCAAAGGGGTTGGCCCCCGGACACCGAAATATCTCCCCGCGCCGACCGGGGCAGGGCCGAGGGCTCCAGGTGTCGCCTCTGTCGTGGCGGGAGCGAGTCTCACTGGCGTCCTTCGTCCCCTCTGCAGCGTTTGCTGGTGCTCAGGATCGGGCTCGTAGGCGCGGCGCCATGTCCCTGCCCGAGTGGCACATCGCGGTGAAGCTGGCGGACCAGCCCTTGGCCCCCAAGTCCATCCTGCGGCTCCCGGAGGCAGAGCTGGGCGAGTGCCCGCTGGGCGGGTGCAGCATCTCCTACCTGAAGCAGCTGATCACTGGGAAGCTGCAAGAGTCTGTCCCAGACCCCGAGCTCATTGGTGAGTCCTGGCAGTGCTGGGGGCACGGTCAGTTTTACACGGGGCCCTTTCAGCTGAAGTGCTTGAAGTTGCTACGAGCTGTTTCTCAGCTGCTCTGTTCCTCCCCGTGTTTCAGTAGGACCCTGCTATCCTTCTGAGAGAGGCTGTGAACGTTTTGGAGGACAGGAACAGGATTCGGATGGAAACGTTGGGCAGCAGGATGAAGCTCAGTACAGACAAATGGAAGGTCCTGCACCTAGGGAGGAATAATTAGACACACAAATATAACGTGGGGATAATTAGCTGGGTGACAGCACAGCTGAGAAGGATGTAGTATTTGGTGGATGGCTCAAGGTAAGTTAGCAGTGTCATGCAGTCACAGAAAAGCAGTGTTGCCAACTCTCATGATTTTTGGCTTTGTTCTTAAAATCTGTTCTTTGGGGATGTGAAAAAATGTAGCTGCTTTCATATTTATATTGATAAAAACAAAAAGTTAAGTTTTTTTACATTCCCAAAGCATAGACTTTAAGAATAAAGTAAAAAATCATGAGAGTTGGCAATACTGGAAAAGTAGATGCAGTTTGGGGCTGTATTAACAAGTGTATTAGGTATGAAAAAAGAGAGGTAATAGTCTCACTCTGCTCAGCACTGATTAGGCCTCACCTAGAATATTGTTTACAGTTCTGCGCTTTGGATTTTAAGAAGGATGTGGAGAAGTTAAGGGGGGTCCAGAGGTGGGCATAACAAATGATAGATAAATGGTTCAGAAGGCAGGCTGTGTGAGGAGAGATTGAGAAAACCAGACTTGTTTAGACTAGAGAGAAGCCAGGTCATGAGGGGACGTGATGATACTCTTCAGATATCTGAAAGGCTGTCGTAACAAAGAGGAAAAACAGCTCTTCTCCGTGGCTGCAGAGAGCAGAATGTAAAGCAATGACTTCAACTTGCAGCAAAGCAGGTGAACACTAGGTCTCAGAGACGGATATTGGATCTTGGAGGGGGTGGGGAAACTTCCTGACTAGTTGAGCAGTGAAGCAATGGAGTAGATAGTCCAGGGAAGTGGTAAAATCACCTTCAGTGCAGGTTTTCAAGAGGAGGCCCAATAACCATTGGTCAAGGATGATTCAGGAGTGACCTTCCTGCATTTCTACAGGTGTTTGGACCAAGTGATCTTTGGGGTCCTTCCGACTCTATAAATCTGAGATTCTATGTATAGTATATAACTTGAGTATTGTGCTGAAAAGGCAACATGCAAGTGTGAATCGTATTTAGGACTTCAGTCTTCTTTATATTCTAGGCATGTTCGTAGATTGATAGATGTTAGGGTCGGAAGGGACCTCAATAGATCATCGAGTCCGACCCCCTGCGTAGGCAGGAGAGTGCTGGGTTCAGATGACCCCAGCCAGGTGCCTATTTAACCTCCTCTTGAAGACCCTCAGGTTTGGGGCGAGCACCACCTCCTTTGGGAGCCCATTCCAGATTTTGGCCACTTTAACTGTGAAGAAGTTCTTCCTAATGTCCAGTCTAAATCTGCTCTCTGCTAGCTTATGGCAATTATTTCTTGTGACCCCCAGAGGCACCTTGGTGACTGGAGCCTCACCAATTCCGTTCTGCACCCCCATGATGAATTTATAGGCAACCACAAGGTCACCTCTCAACCTTCTCTTGCAGAGGTCCAGGTCCCCTAGTCTCGTAGGGCCTGGGCTGCAAGCCCTTAACCATACGAGTGGCCCTTCTCTGGACCCTCTCCAAATTATCCACATCCCTTTTGAAGTGTGGCACCCAAAACTGGACGCAGTACTCCAACTGTGGTCTGACCAGTGCCCAATAGAGGGGAAGTATCACCTCCTTGGTTCTGTTTGTCATGCATCTGCTGATGCATGATAAAGTGCAGTTAGCTTTGATGACTTTGTCACACTGACAACTCGTGTTCATCTTGGAGTCCACTAGGACTCTGAGATCCCTTTCTGCTTTTGTGCTGCCGAGCAGGTCATTTCCTAGGCAGTAGGTGTGCGGGACATTTTTCCTCCCTAGGTGCAGCACTTTGCATTTCTCCTTGTTAAATCACATTCTATAGTTCTGCCCATTTGTCCAGCCTGTCCAGGTCTGCCTGTAGTTGTTCCCTGCCCTCCGGTGTGTCCACTTGTCCCCACAGTTTTGTATCATCCGGAAACTTGGACACAGAGTACACTTCACTCCCTCGTCCAAGTCACTGATGAAGACATTGAAGAGTATCAGTCCAAGGACCGAGCCCTGCAGGACCCCACTACCCACTTCCTTCCAGGTCAATACCGACCTGTCCACCACCACTCTGGGTATAACCCTCTAGCCAATTTGCTACCCGCTGGATTGTGTAATCATCCAAGTCACAGCCTCTTAATTTGTTCACCAGTATGAGGTGGGATACCGTATGAAAGGCCTTCCTGAAGTCTAAGTAAACGATATCCACCCTTACTCCTGAGTCTAGGTGTTTTGTAACCTGGTCGTAAAAAGAGACTAGTTTAATCAGGCATGATCTACCTGCTATGAACCCATGCTGGTTTCCCGTCAGTATAATTTTTCCTGCTGGGCTCTCTCATATATGAGCTTTAATCATCTTTTCAAAGACTTTACCAAGGATGGAGGTGAGACTGACTGACCTGTAGTTGCTTGGATCCTCCTTCCTCCCCTTCTTGAAAATAGGGACCACATTGGCCCTTTTCCAGTCCTCCAGGACCTGTTTGTAACATGTCTTTTTGAAATGACTGCCGGGAAAGACCTGTTCTGCTATGACAAATGTTTTGTATTTGCCACAAATAGAATGGTGTTTTTCTGGCAGGGTGCACAGCTAGGCTTAAGGTAACCTACGTTAAGTGGTTTCTTGTTTTGAAATTGTCTGTGACTTGGCAGGTGAATTGCATGGAGATCACAGTATCCTAGAAAAGTAGGGCTGGAAGGGCCCTCAGTATGTCACCTAGTCCAACCCCCTGCTCAAGGCAGGATCATCCATGTTTAAACTATCCCATGTAGAATTTTATCTAACTCACAGTTAAAAACTTCCAGTGGCAGAGACTCCACAACATCTCTTGGTGGTCTGTTCCAGTGTTTAACCACTCTGAGTCAGAAACATTTTCATAATATCCAATCCTTGTTGTGTGCTGCGTTATGTGATGGGCTGAGGACACCACTGTACTTCATCATATATCCACTGTCTTTGGTCCCTTAGGGGCCTCCTGGCTTGATTGTTATGGGAGCAAACTGTTATAGTTCTATTATCTCTTGCTCAGATCTGATCTATTGTGGTCGCAAGCTGAGGGATGACCAGACGCTTGACTTCTATGGTATCCAGTCAGGCTCCACAGTTCATGTTCTACGCAAGTCATGGCCCGAGCCAGATCAGAAAGCAGGTGAGTGGGTGGACACCCGGATTAACCCATCAGAACTTTTCAACATATGCGTGTGTGGTATGGATCCTTCATAGCTGTAGTGAGGTCAGGTTCTTCTGCTTGAGTTTCTTTTCTAGGATTGCAGGGGAGTCATTGAGGAGAGATGACTCCCTTGGGGTTGATCTGGGAGTCTTGTGCTGAATTCTCTAGACTCTAGGTAACGTAGGGGAGCTTTCACTTTGTGATGCCTGATATGGAAGGAGCCCTGTGATCACAGCTTGGTGAACGGGGCTCTATTTCACTGATTCTCAAGGATCACTATCAGATCCATGCTTTTTTCCATCCTTTTTTTCTGCTTCTTGGGGGCCTTCTGCACTGAGCATCAGACTGGGTACCACTGAGATTAGAGAGTTGGGCATCCAAGACAAAGGTCTTGAGATTCTCCTACCTTGTGCTGCTCTGTTAGGCAGGTTTTGGCTTTCTTGGCTATTCAGGAAGGAATGAGGCAAAGGGCATTGGAAGGAAAACTGGATTGATATGATTTTTCCCCCTTTCTGAATGGTTTTCCTTCAGAACCTGTGGATAAAGTGGCTGCAGTGAGAGAGTTCCGGGTCCTTCACACTGCCCTGCACAGCAGTTCTGCTTACAGAGATGCCGTGAGTGTGGCTTAATTCTTCACATCCAAAGACTTGCATTGCTTATCATGTGGGATGCAGCATGGCAGTTGGGAGACAGAAAACATGAATAGAAGCTTTGGTGAGCTACTGCAATTCCAATCTGCCTGTCTGTTGATTCCACTGACAGGTCTTCAAGATGCTGGGGAACAAGGAATCCTTGGACCAGATCGTTGTGGCTACTCCTGGCCTCAGCAGTGACCCTATTGCTTTGGGTGAGTTCAGACATGGCCAAAGAGACCTGAAAGCTGCTGTAGATAGGTCCAAGATCACTTCAATCAAAAGTCATGCTCCAAGGATAGCAACAGTCAGTTGCCACAGGAGGTGTTCATTTCTGAGGAAGAAGGGATCTGTGTGTGTCCACAAGTCAGATTTTACTCCTGCAGTTCCTGTTGTTGGTAGCCAAGCTAGACTGGGAACTTCTGGTAAGATGTTGAGTTTGAGGAGCAGGGCTGGTGCATAAGGAAGGATGCAGTGGGGAAGAGGTGTGTAGTAAATGATTCTCCTTAGTACCTGCTCTTCCATGTCCTACAGAGGTGCAGTTTAAAGCTAACCCAGGCTTGTCTTGGCTTGGCCTAGTGAGTTAGCAGCATACAATCATAAAAGAGTAAGGCTGGAAGGGACCTCCAGAGATCATTTAGTGAAACTCCGTGCTTGAGGCAGGATCATTCCTAACCAAACCATCCTGCACAAACCCATTGTCTAACCATTACCATGTGGGAAACCCTAAAATGATGTTGCCTCTCCCAGTCCAGAGTCTTTTAGTGCGGACAGCTCTGAAGAGGTAGAAATTTAGCTTCGACGTCACAGTGCTTTGCAATAGCCACTGATATGTTGAAATGGTTGTGTGGAGTTAGCTGAGACAGTTTGTTATTTTGGCAGCTGGGGTTTGTGCTAGAGGGTCTCATGAAGAGGAAGTAGTGGCCTTAAAACAAAACAAAAACAAAAAAGCACTAATGGAGGTATATTAAGCAGTGATGCCTTCTGGAAGCTTCTGTGATCTATTCCTGTCCATAATGTAAAGTGGCAACAGGAACTGAGTGATTTCTGCTTGTACCTTGTCCTTGGACTGCTTGTCCCCTATTGTGTCCTGTTTCTGATTCGACCCATTTCATGGTTTCTTACAGGAGTCTTGCAGGACAAGGATCTCTTTTCTGTCTTTGCAGACCCAAATATGCTGGACACGTAAGTTCTGGATGCCAGAGGCTGAGTGTGAGTCACCGTGTAACCGAGCATAGTCTGCATTGTCACTCAGATTATTTCTCTTTAGGATGCATCTGTGTGTTACTTCAGCTCCAGTTGCCCTCCCATCTTCCAACCTCAGCTCTTTGTTATAGGAGCCCTAGAAAAGACAGAGCTGTCATAATAATTCAAGGGCTTTGCAGTGGGAAGAGAATCAGTCACTGCTAGATCCAAAGTTCAAATCCAGTCTTGCTTGGCTGCGCCTGAAAGTGTTCATCTAATTTTTACTTAGTGGTCTGGCTGAAATAGATTGGAAAGTGTTGTTAGGGGAAGAGGGGAGGCCATTTAGTCCTAAGGGGGAGGATGTCCACATCAAAGAACCCACCCCAGAATGGTTTCTCAGTGGCCCCTCATGTTTTCAGTACTAGCAAATGCTAGGATTGGGTGGGCTTTGCTGAGGAAACTGTTCTTTCTGCTAGAGAATGGGTTCTGTGGTATGAGGCTGGTCCACAGGGGGCAGTGTGGGCCAGACTTGATTTATGAGTAAAGAGAGGACTTCAATCAGCTTTTAAGGCTGTCAAACCTGATATCTTCCCTAGATCCAGGGACCCTTGAGTCAAGTCTGGCATGTGATTTGTGGATGTGCCTCTGTATTTGTTTGACCAGTTTGATTAGGCAGGTTACATCATCATGCTGCCAGAATAGAGATCTGTGATGGTGATGAGAGCGAGCCTGCCAGGAGACTTGAGAGCGGCCACGTAGGCTGTGCCAGCTTGCAGCCCTGAGGTGCCACTTCTGTGTTTCCTCCTAGGCTAATCCCAACTCACCCTGCCCTTGTGAATGCCATTATCCTAGTTCTGCACTCGGTAGCAGGCAGCACACCTCTGCCAGCTCCTGAGACCTCCTCGCGTAGCATGCCCTCCAGTTCCTACAGGGATATGCCAGGTGAGTTCACTTCTAAAGAACTCGGACATAAGGGAATATGTAGAGACATGGCAGAACGTGTAGGAGATGTGGAAGACATGGAGCCTTCCCCAGGCTGGGCTTGGCTTATTGAACCAGTAACATGCACATGCACACATAGTTGCATGCATTAAGCATTGACATTTGCACCTCTACTGAGTTGTGAATGCCTTAAAGCCTGTATCAGCCAATTAGGTGGCAGTAAAGGGGTTTCTGGGTATGTCTGACCTGCATTACTTTGAAGATCTTGCCTCAGACTGGTCTAGAGAAAAAGCTTCAGTCTTTCTCAACCCTTTTAGATTTGAGGCCCCCCTTGGAAAGTGTCAGCTCTTAGTTTTTGCTCATTTTTTGACCACAGAGAAATACTAGAGCAATTCTTCTGTTGCAGAGACCTTGGAATGACCACAACAGCCCAGAATGATTTTAACACTGTGAATTCCTATTTGAAATCTATGGGTCTATCTTGCGAATCATGTTTGTACATCTAATTGTCCTAACATTGTGTGGCACCCTATGGAACCCATAAAAGGATCTCGAGGCCCACCGGGGTGTCACAGCACCTCTGGTTTAGAGTCACTACTCTAGGTATATAGGAACCCTTCAAAGAAATGTGAGGGTGCTGCAGAAAGAGGTGCTGGTCGTCCATGAGGTGGTGCTCTTCCCTATCTATTGGAGCTGAACCAGGGCTCATCAGAAATGGTGCTGCTGAAGACTATATCTATTATCTCATCCAAGAGATGCAATCTCTTTCCCATGTGAGAGGATTAAGTAATCCCATGGTACTTTGTTGAAAGAGTAGGAGTTAGCTCCATAGTCCTGACCAAATTCCAGCTTGTGGTTATTCCGCCTCCCTACATTCCTGCTGCAGTTTCAGTAGATATAATTCCTCATTCCCACTTGCAAGTGCTGGAAAGCATTACTAGCCTGTTGTGTTTGAAGCAGTAAAGGGCTGAGGAATCTGGACTGCAGAATGGAATCCGGAGTTCAGAGAGAGATACCTGTGCTCCCTGCACAAAGCATGGGGAGAGTGAGGGAGCTCAGGCTGGGATTCAAAAATACCTGTGCTTCAAGGTGGCAGCTGTCTAGAGCAAGCTGTTCAGCAACAGCAAGGACAGGGCTGTCTTAACCCAGGGGTTCTCAGACTTTGTTCTACTGCAACCCTGAGTGCTGGATGGCAGCAGTGGGGGATGGGGAGCTTGCACACAACAGCTGCCTCTGCCATCCATCACTCAGCACTGCTGCTGTGTGGCACTTCCCTGTGCTGTCGCAGTACCCCCTGGGAAGTTTGTGGCCCCTTCTTAAGTTGGTCATGACCCATAGTTTGAGAACCCCTATCTTAACCGAATTTCTCCGGAGCCTGGTACTGCACATGGGTGTTTTTCATTCACTTGGGCGTTGCAGCCTGCCAGCAGCCATTCTTGGACACACTAAGCCTGGCTGCATTCTTATTTTCCAAACATGTCTAAATGAGAAGGAGGAGCAGGAAAAAGCATCCGTGCTTTCTTCATTATATAATGTCCTATTGTATAATAGTGAGGCATTATATAACAGATGGGAAGTAAAAGGACTATGGCTTAATTCCTTCTAAAGCCTAAGAGAACCGAAACCTGAATATCCCATTCTGTATCCTAGAGTTTCCTAACCACTGGGATATTGCCTGGGGTTAGGGGCACATCCCAACCCTCCTGTTGAAGATAGGCCACTGAATAAAAAAGAATTGAAGACTCTTGAATTTTTCTGGATCTCAGCTTTGGATTTGTGTGTCTCAGTTCCAGTTAAGTCCTTTATTGCATCTCACCCATGATGGCTACTACACTTCTGCTTGGAGGGTGAGCAGGCCATCTCTGGAAGACATAAAGTGCTGGTATCTTTCCTAAATGAAACCACATGGCATTTGTAGCACCTGACCATGCAATAGCCTGATTTAAAATATCTGAATGCAAAGGGTGGGGTGGAAGGAATCTAATAGTCTCTGCTGTAGGAGGAAATGGAATCTGAGAATTTGAATCATCTCTGGCTTTGAGAGTTTTTCTCCACTTGAATTTATTCTCTTTCTGGGGCAGGTGGCTTTCTGTTTGAGGGTCTCTCTGATGACGAAGATGACTTTCATCAGGTAAGGGTAGCGGGGCAACAAAAACAAACATGCTACAAAGAAAAATACAGTAATAAGCGATGAATACAATATGTAAGAAAGCTCAGAAAAACTATAGTCTTACAAAAACAAATGTGTTATCTTTGTCTATGAACAGCTCCTAATTTTTCTCAGCTAAATCCTCAGACTCTTCAAGAAATTCTTCCATGCATTAGCCATGTTTTTAAAACTTTACATACTTAATTCCCTGAGATGAGCATCATCACATTGATCACTATTGTCAAGGATGCCTGTGGGATCTTCCTAACTTCATGTCTTCCTCAGTCAGTGTCCACTAGCAGTCCTAGTTATTTTGGGAAATATGCTGGGTAAATTCTTCCTCTTTTGTTTGCCTGTGTCTGAAAACATCATCCTTGTGTGACATCTGGTCCCTGACTTGTATCTGGCTGTAGCATGAAACCTGCCCAATGAAAAGCAATCACATTTTTTTCACATTTTCCCAGGCTTTGAGCCTATGTAGCCATGGGGTGGATCTAGTTTGAAAAGCAGGGTGCAGCTGGTATGGTGCATCCATCATATAACACAACATACATTCTTCTCCAGTTAAAAAGAAACTAGAAGCTCTTCTAATAAGAAGGAGCCTAGAGTTATATTATTCAACTTAA